CCGAATCTTTTGTGCAATAAGCGCGTGTTAACCCCAGAACGTCTAAAGTATTACTAGTAGACAAAATACACCCATGAAAACTTAATACTTTTTCCTATAGGTTCGCAGGTGCTCTATAATAACTTGCTTTTCAAAAAAAGTCACCGCGTTACGTTATTTTGCCAGCAGACATTCGAACGCGTATGCAATTTTGTAGGATGAGTTTGCTAAACCATAGAACTCATAACAACAGGGACTGTATATGGAGGATAGTAGCAGCGTTATCACAGCAGTATTATCAGGATAGGTATGACCGCTGCACTACTAGCTATATTATAGTAACAGCAGCAAGAGCAGTAGTGGTAGTTGTAGAAATGTTAGCAACAGCTTCAATACGAGCAGTAGTGGTAGACGCATTAACAATAGCAGAGACAGCACTAATAACTGGAATAGCAGCATCAATAACAGCAGTAGCAAGATCAGCAGCAGTAGCTGCAGCACCAGTCATATGTAGTATCAACAGCGCCGACAGCAGTAGCAGCAGTATATATAGCCGCTGCAGTAGTACCTATAGCAACAGAAGTTGTGCTACCGCGCAGGAGTAATAGCATCAATAACATCAGTAGCAGCATCAGTACCAGTAGTAGGAGCATGGATAACAGAAATTCAAAACGTAAATAAAACATAACTGCAGAGAAAACATCAATAAGAGTAGTAGGGCTATCATCACATCAGTACTAGCAGGATAGATGTTTCGGTAGCATCCGTAGCAACAGCATCAGTGATACTAGGTAGCAGTAGTAGCAGTAGTAACAGCACCAACAACACCAGTACCATGCAGTAGTACCAGCAGTGAAAGCAGTACCAACAATACCAGTAGCAGTTGCAGCAGCAAAAGCAGCAGGAGTAATATCAGTAGCAGTAGCAGAAAATCTAATAACAGTAGACTAAGTAGCGGCATCAGCAACAATAGTAGAAGCATCAACAACGGCGGCCCGGCAGCAGCGGCAGCAGCAGCAGCAGCAGCAGCAGCGGCGGCGGTGGCGGCGGTAGCAACAGCGGCAGCAGTAGGCCCATGACTAATAATTATAGTGGCAGCATCAGTAATAGTAGTAGCAGCATCAATTGCAGTAGTAGCAGCATCAATTGCAGTAGTAGCAGCATCAAGAACAGACGTAGCCGCATCAGTAGTATCAGCGGCAACATTAGTATTAACTGCATCGTCATCAGATAGCCGCCATTTATATAGCTATTCATATCTTTTTAATATAGCCATATAGCTTTTCATTTATTGCTTCGAGAATTTCTCTACGGCAAGGGATCGGCACTCCTTTCCGCGCATGAGAACATAAATCACAGCTGTTCCTACTAAATAAAACATTACTTCTCGCGCTCACCGTCCGCAAAGCACAGACGTCGTGGATGGCCCGTAACGCGTCGCCCCCATTTCTGCTCGCATCGTTTAGGCGACGTTCTAGAGAACTACTGCAGGCGAGACGACCTGATGAACGCCGCGCGCGTACTGTTCGCCATCACCATCATGTTCACCTATCCGATCGAGTGCTTCGTCACGCGCGAGGTGCTGGAGAACGCCATCTTCGTGCATCGAGGACCCGAGACTATCGGCAGGCACATCTTCACAACCATCGCCATCGTTGTCGCCACGGTGCTGGCGTCGATGGCAACCGACTGCCTCGGAATAGTTTTGGAGCTGAACGTGCGTGTAGGCCTACATAGCAGAAATACTATTGGGGGAATTCACGCGGTAGTGAGGGGGCAGATCTTTGGTTCATATCGGACAACGGTGGTTAATCATTTATTTTATTTTTCAGAGGCAGGACCCAAACATTTTTCCCCAACGCAAATACTTCTCGACTTAATTCTTACGAAAAATTACTCTCGACTGTTTTTAATCACGACTAATTCTATGACAGCCTGTGCCTATAGCTTGCTTGAAATTGTTGCTCAAGGTTGTTAAATTGATAAGTATTAATAAAAGCATCAACGCACATTACAATAATAATAATAATAATAATAACAACAACAACAATAATCACAAATAACTAGTGCCAATATCACATTAAATAATAATTAGCCAGAAAATTGTCGCTTTTAACGTTTCATGCGGTTTTTGAACGTTTGCCATATATGTAATACAGAAATGTCCCGCCACTCATAATTTCAGGGAGTCTTAGCAGCCGCTCCGCTCGCCTTCATCCTGCCGGCCGTCTGCTACATCAAAGTTCAGGAGGGCAGCATTCTGTCGCGTGACAAGTTTCCGGCGTTCCTCTGCGCCCTCTTCGGTCTGATTGTCGCTGTCGCCGGCCTGGTGCTTGTCATCTACAATGTGGCGATGGGCGAGGCGTGCAGTCACGGCAAGGAGCCGGCCTACTGCTATCTCGTCGACCACGCGAACGCGATCCTGCCGCCGGGGCTGCACTTCAACAGCACCGACATCTACGAAGCGGGGTTCCAGGCAGCGGAAGCCGTTAGCGCTGCGGGAGAAATGTAATGAGGTGCTGGCGCACGCACACGCACACACTAACCAGCCGAAACGACCCCACCGCTACATCT